GTATCTATCTAAACCTCAATTGTCTGTAAATAACAGATCATAGCATGTTCATTGAATTAGAAATAAGCCTAATAGCTCACAAATGCTATACAACATTGAGAAGCTTAATAAAAACTTCAAATTAAGTTTTAAAATATTGAGCCAAAACATTATTTTATTTCTAGTAAAAACAGATACATGTACAGTATGTATGCACAAGAATTTGAATTGCTTAACAAAAACAGCTGTGTGCTTTCTTTTTGTGTTGGTATTTCTGAAGTGTTCCTGAGTGTGTTAAAGCTATGAATCATGTACTGTACAACAAATAAATAACGGTTGCATGAAAAGTTTAATTAAAAGACCCAACTACTCCTTCTTGTTCCCTATGGGATGGAATACAGCTGTTAAAAAAAAAACTAATCTGAGAAGATCCTTTTTTCAATGTATTTGAATGTGAAATATGGTTAGAGTAAAGGATAATGACTCCTTTGAGTATTGCATATTAGAATTGTTATTTATGGGTCATAAAACAATAATTCCTGTGGAATTCACATTTTTCCTGGACACTTCAATGTAAAATTCTGTTTTTGACCTTGTAACCTAATCATACACGTCTTGAAACTGTTGAAAAATCTGCAACGCTTCTCAGGAGAGTAAGGAGATTTTATCCAAAATGACAGTTCTGAAATGAACGGTATGATAAATAGCATATTGTAGTCGGAGCCTGAAAGAAAAGAATGTCTTCATCAAGTAAGGGCTATTGTCTGTGTTGCCATCTCTGGATTTGAAATAACATTTGCTTAACATTGTCTTGGTTAATTAATGGCTTTGATTTACTTATCACATTTTGTTCTGGGTAATTAGGTGGTAAGATAGAGAAACGAGCGTATTTGTTCACAGTATCCTGTACCATTGACATCAATGTTTTAAATGCTGTTTGTGTTTACATTTTTCCCCCGGCAGGCTCCCTATTTTTGGCCTTCACACTGCTGGGAGCCAGAGAACACTGATTACGGTAAAAATCCCCTTCTAGCCTCTTCTTATACTACAGGCCAGGGGCAGAGCATAAACCCACTTACCGGGACTGTTTTTAGCAGATCAGATTGCTTTCACAGGCTGCGTTACTGAGCTCATACTGACATCAGCCTCCCATTGCAAACTTGAAATCACTAAACCAGATCTTTTTTTTTCCTAGCGGTGTGGATTTCTCCTCCCTTCAAAAAAATATAATTCCTAATTGCCTCCTACTGAAATTACTTCTTGGTTTATTCAAAGTGTATACACTTGCAATGACATTCAGACAAAAGTGTGTGACATTAAAAAAACTACTGTGTTATAACGTGAAATAAAAGAAACTGTCTCTCCTGAACACAGTCGAGTATGAAAGCTATGTAAGCTTTGACCTATGGTAGGCAACTGCAGTAATCCGAAAAAGATAGATGTTTCTTACTAGACTTTAGGTGACATGTTTGACAGAGTGCTGCTTACAATTAATACATTGATAAAGGACAACCATTAAATAAGTGTCAAATGCACTTTTAATAAGATTTGTCACATTCAGAATGGGATCAGGTGCAATCTTATGTACAACGACACTTGTTATAAAAGATGTCATTAAAATGAAGCATCTAGACACATAGCTAGAGGAGGATCCTATTTCATATTCGTTATCAACCTGTGAAAAATGGTCTGAACGGTTTTAATTTTTGTCTGTACATGTTGGTAGCGCTATAATGGTTCTATATGGGCAAGAATAGGCTGTCACAAATACAAGCCTATTGTAGCATTATTACTTTTCTAGTTTTTTTAGTCTATTGTGTTGACACCTCACAAAACGTGTTCTTCCCACAGAATGTTGTTATTGCTAATTGTAGATATCAGAGTTTAAGCATTGTTTTCTATATTTCCTTTTTCAGCCATTTACCTTTGTAAGCGGACAATGCAAAACAAAGCCCGTTTGGAGCTAGCAGACTATGAGGCTGTGAGTTTCTTTAATTTAAAAATGTAACAAGGAAACTAGGAGCATATGGCACCAATCGCTAGTGGGGACAGTTGGTCATGGATGCTTGCTTTGTTAAACTTTCCCTGCAAATTAAGGTGGCATAAAATATCGCCTTACTGGAAAAACTGGTGTGTGCATTGAGGTGAATGTCAGATGAATAATACATTTTGAAAAGGTTTCGCATTTATTTTTGATATTGTTACTTTGGAACTGACCAAATAAAGACATGAGTGTGTATAGATAAGAATTAACCCAGGTCTTTAATTGTTCAGTGATTTCTTTCACTTAACAGACCTGCAATACAGCTTTTCAAATTCAAATTTTGAAAGTGTTTTCAAAATTAAATAGCTTATATACACACACAATTACTAATCCCTTCTCAGGAAATAATGGCAGGTACAGAAAACTTATCTGACATTATTACATCTCACCATATTAAGCCCTTTCCTCCATTTAGTTCAAATTTCATGTAGAAACAAAAAGCATTTGAATTGAATGATCACAAATCTGAATTTCAGAAGGAAACCAATACTATTTTTAAGTTCTGCATGTGGGATCTAGTCAGAGTGCTTTTCTTCAAATACCAAACTGTTCTGATGATTAAGTTGCTGAAGCCCTCAAATACTACACTATATTATATTGGATAAATTGTACCCACACAGTAATAAGTCCTGATAATCAGAAGATGTGGGAATTTCCCCACAGCATAAATTACATTTTTTCTTAATTAGTGCTATTTTTGTCTTTTAAATGTAAGGGAGCTGAAACTGTTTGTTTCAGGTCTTGCTTTATTTAGGACTTCTAAAACTACTATGAGAGTCAATGAAGCTCCCATAATGATAAAAAAACAATGTGTGTGTATGTGTACACGGATAGGAATATACATTTTTATTTTTTTAGATAGACCCTTCTGTCTATGATGCCAGTAAGGATGTCGCCATCTCTTCAGAGCAATGTTAAAATGAAGTTGCACTTTGAAAGCCTTTCTCCTCTTCACTTACAGTATAATCATACTGAACTGTATGTAAACACACTTGAAGGCAGAGTTTTAGACTATTTTTTTTTGTTCCAATTTGACAGGAGAACTTGGCCAGGCTACAGAGAGCATTTGCCAGAAAATGGGAGTTTATCTTCATGCAAGCAGAGGCACAGGTTAAGTAAGTAAAGTGGCTAGAGCAATATTTGAACAAAAAATGATAAATAAAATTAATAAGAAAAAGAAAAATAATTTGTTAGACTACCTTTCTTCTATTTTGGAGCAGAAGAACAATCTCTTAGTCTTCAATCTACAATTCAGTTTTATGTAATTTTACCTTTTCTGTTCTCTGGTCAAGGTCTGATTTTAGGTAAAGTAATATGGAAAGACTTTAAAAGTGAAATGTCATAAAAGTCTTCTTTTATTTTATTTTAACCTCCCTGCATACATCTCTTATGTTTGATCCTAATACATTGTAGATCGTACTTCTTTATATTCTTTCTGAAGTGGCAATATTGCTTGTTTTTTGTAGTATTGTGGCCAAAGAATTTTTGGTCATCTGTAAAGTAATAATATTATGTTTATGTGCTTCATTAAGGTTTAACTTAAAGCCTGAGTCTTGAGCTCCTATTACAAATCATAGTAGTGGAAGTATACTGGTAGAAACATTGACAATACTGTACTAGAAACAGATTTTGTTAAACATTTGTCTAAATTCTATGGTGCTTTTTCTCTGCCAGACCTGGCCAGTGTTTGGTTTCAAATACTATTTCATTCTCTTTACAATTCAATTACTACCTTCCTGCGGGAAGGAGCTATACTCACTAGTTCAACACCACCACCTGCTGACAGATAGATGCTTGCACAGAGCATTCACCACTGCTCATTTCCTGCCACTTTTTTTCTGAGTAAGAACATGTGGGTTTAATCTCATAGTACTGTATATTGTGGTATTATATAAAGAGCTCTAGTATTTGTACAAGATGTCCTGTTGTTAAACCACAATTTGTGGTTCTGTGTTCATTTGTTTTACTTTTCCTTTAACTATAATAATAAACTATATTATTTTATATAATAAACTGTAAATCCTTTGTACTTTTTAATTAATTATATAGGAGTAGTGTATGTGGATTATAGAATGCAGCACAACAATAATGATAAAAAATAACACCACCAAATTACTTTCATATTGAATATTTTATTCTTTAATGTATAGTTTTTGCCATGTCAAATTTGTCATTAACACTATAATACCCAAAACACAGATTAATATTTCTCATTATTGTGTTTCCAATTAAAATTTAAATGACTGACAATGACACCGCAGGCCGTACCTTGTACTGATTGTAATAGCAAGTGTAATAGCAGTGCCTAGTGAAGTCATAGTTAGGGCTGTGAACTCTCAGCTGGAGGGTTGTGCTTTAAATCCCTGCTGGCGCACTGCTGTTGTACCCTTGAGGACGATGCTTTATTCAGATTGGTCCTCCTGCTGTATACGAATGGGCAATCATTATAAATGAGAATGTATTCTCAATTAATCTTTCTGGTTAAATAAAATGTTGAAAAATTAACTTACATGATCCCTATAGAATGTGCATCACAGAATGATCCTTTATCGATTGGGAGTTTTATACAACTTGATGTGCATCGTTTCCAATTTGTTCTTTATACATCCTTAATTTAAAATCCACAGATTAAATCTGTTGCTTTATATATAATTTATCTTGAAACTATGGGTTAGAGTGATGACTCTAGATATATATGAACTATCTTCATTATAAGTTATTAATGTTCCTTATTGAATGCTCTCATTTCACTTTTTTGATTTAGGGTAGACAGGAAAAAAGATAAGACAGAGAGAAAGATTTTGGACAGCCAAGAGCGAGCATTCTGGGACGTTCATAGACCGGTGGTGAGTATCTTGAAGCAGGGGTGCTTCCTATTTAGGAAATCCCAAAGATGAAGAATCCCTGGATGCAGGTTCTTTTTCATTTAAATATTCCATTCAAAGGCCACTGGTTCTTAGCTTGCTTTCTGGAAATCTCCCAGCTCCCCCGCACCGATTTCTCTGTGTTTGATCTTTCACCTCCTCTGTTGCAGCCAGGCTGTGTAAACACAACAGAGATGGACATTCGCAAGTGTCGCAGGATGAAAAATCCGCAGAAAGTGAAGAAGGTATGGATGCCGCAAGCAAAGCAAAAGCATGAGTCTACATATTAAACTAAAAAAAAACAGTTCAATTTGCTGTAGGTTCCTTCATTTCCTTTCTTTTTAATATACGCACGTTTACTTGCAAGAACATAACAAACAGTTGACAACATATATATATATATCTCACTGTGCCCGATTTCTCAAAGACCTCACTGAAAGTAAAAACCCAAATCAGAAGAAAGTCAGTCTGCGGGTCCTTCTAAAGTTAAAGGTGACAGGTGGCAGTTTAAGCGAAATGTTTCCTGTTCCTTCCTTTGCCACGTGTTCAGTCAGTATATGGAGTGACAGAAGAGTCGCAGACAAGGAGTCCAGTGCACACGCCTGCACAGCCTGTCAGGAAAACCACCAAGGAGGATGTCAGGAAGGAGGTAACCCATTGAGTCATATACAGTATAACGATATTGTAACGCAATGGGGGCTCAGGCGGGCGCCCTTGCCGCATCTGGTAGGCCCCATCCCGACTGGAGGCTCGAACCCGGGATTTCCGCGTCTCTCTGCAGCGACCTAGCCCCGTGAGCTAAAGAGAGATCTCCCTACAGCCCAGTAGCTGTGGTCCTGCTATCACAGGGAAGGGCGGTGACGTCACCTGCTCTGGTACGCCGGCTCTTACACAGTGCTTGTCGGCCGTAAGCGTTACACTCTCCCCCGCTTAAATCGCCGTCCCCGGCGAAGGGCTATCCCACCCCGCTTCTGACACCAATGTAACGCAACGGGGGCTCAGGCGGGCGCCCTAGCCGCATCTGGTCGGCCCCTGCACTGTCCGGGGCTCGAACCCGGGACTTCCGCGTCTCTCTGCAGCGACCTAGCCCCGTGAGCTAAAGAGAGATCTCTCTACAGCCCAGTAGCTGTAGTCCTGCTATCACAGGGAAGGGCGGTGACGTCACCCGCTCTGGTACGCCGGCTCTTACACACAGTGCTTGTCGGCCGTAAGCGTTACAATATTATTATGCAACGTCTTTTTTTGCACCGCGGTGACAGTTAACTTTCAGATGGGGACTCGTGAGAATCAATATCCTCCATACTGTAACTAATCAGAAGAGTTTCAAGGAGTAATAGTTTACTCAGTTCAACAGTTCAGGAAACTGAACTAATACAGTATACCTGAAAAGGAAAAATCCCTTGAACTCTTCGTTTCAACATTTGTCCCTAAAACTTATTTTAAAACTACAGATTAACTACAGGATTGTAAGTCCTTTGAACTTTTAATGACTTTCTTTAATTGGATTCTAAACAGAGTCTTAACTACTTGATGGACACATTTTATTTCCTATCTTCAAGCTCTAGTGTGCACATTTGCATTTTCAGTTTTAATGGAGGTTGCTGATAATGAAATTGCTATCATTCTAATGTGCATCTGTTGAGGGTGGAGGGGCACAGAAAGGCTTTTCATCTCAATCCCAATGGAAGCAGTAAATACCCTTTTGGATCATGATAAAAAATGTTTTAAAACATTTTTAATCTCTTTAAAATAATTTATTATATTAATATTTAATTATTATGGTCAATAAAGTTTAAATATTGGCATGTATAGTTTATTGCCTTGTTTTTGTTTCCATTCATCTGTACTGTGATCCAAAAAAGTATCCATTAAATACCTTAATTTTCTTTTTATCAGATCACATTCCTCAATATGCAACTGGACAGACATTGTATGAAGATGTCCAAAGTTGCTGAAAGGTAAGTGCCTATTTTAAAACATCATCAACCTTCAGCTTGAATCCAAACTTTGCATATTGCTATTATCATCACTTTCAACCACCGGCACACAAAGAAATAATTTATGAAGAAGCCAATTAACATACATGTGTTTGAACTGTGGGAGGAAATTATTATTATTATGATTATTATTATTCTGACCTGAAAACAAATACCTGAAGCTTCCTGTTATGTCTTTTTTGTTAACAACAATATCAATGGAATGACATCTTCAGTCCACAAACACAATTCAGTTGTTGGAAAGCATTGCAACCAATAGTAAACCAATGAATTGTCGCACACTGTGACAATCACTTTCAAATGGACACTACAATTTTAAGATATGAACAGGAAGAATTATTTTATTTGAGTTATATTTGGCTTATTTTTGCTAGGCCTTACATCACTGTTTTCTACATTAACTGGGAAACACAGCCAGATCGAATGGAATTCATCTCAGGAATAGCATCTCCTTTTGCAGAATATTTTTTTTCTGGATATCTATAGGATATCAATTCTTAAGTATTTTAGTCTGTGAACTTGATTTTGTCCTTGTCCAAAGAAGGTATTTCTGTTTAGTTGGCAAATTCTAAATATTATGTTTAATAACAAATCAATTGTCTATTATTGTGAGACACAAAATCCCCAGTAAACTGTGTACCACAATGCTCAAGAGGTGTTTAAGAGTCCAAGATTTCAAATCTTTAGTTTTTTTATGTTTGATTAAGTGCAAATAATTGTTTCCCTCTCAAAATGACCCGGTCCACACCAAAGAGCTGATTTTTTCTTGTGTCACTCCTTTCAGAAGAGAAAGAATACTATCCTGATATTTCCAAACATTAAATCACTACTAATTAACATCAAAAGATCAGTCATTTATCTAGAAATAACCATTTGACAAAAACAACTTAGTCATGTCCAAGAACACTGTTTTGTAAATATGTGAAAATTTGTGTTTCCTCTTTATCATAAACCATTTCCCCTTTTTATCTCATCATAAAAGCAGGCTGCCATTTATATTTTACATAAAAACTGAAGAAAGTCTGCAAGTGAGTCCATTCCGCCCATCTAATTCTTCTGTTTCCTTGTAGTGAATTGATCTGAGGATCACATCTAGTTATTTCTTTAAAAGTGATTTCAGATTGAATTGAAGTGATCAGTTTCAGTTTAGGCAATATGTAGTTTTCTAGATTCCTCCTGGAGAAGGTTCTGAATGTGAGGATGCTCCTCCCTGCATTATTGGGCTGTATGCCTTTGGATGTAAACATGGGCCCACATTAAATCAAATTAAGCACCTGGTCCTTGAAGGTGGCTTTTTGTTTCTTGGAGGTTTATTGGATTTGCCAGAAGGAAACCTCCCATCAAGGTCTAGGTTAGTCATTTGCAATTGATGTCTGTGTTACACATTTTGGGTTTATCCACACCTTAGCTTAAATTAATTTAAAGAGGATGAAAAGGAGGTCTCAAAATCCAATCCGGACCATGTTCTCTCTTATATAGTTCAGGTAGGTGGCTGCGTCAGCATGCGTAGGCTGCAAAGGTACAAGTAAAGGTTTATGCTGAAAAGAGAAGAAAAGAAAAACAATGTTTTTTCTCGACTGTGCACCTAAATAAAAAGCTTAAGAATTAAATGAACATTGTTTTGCGAAAGGTTGTTAAAAGAAAAAAGCTCAATGAAGTGGTTGTGGGTACAGTCATTTTGATTCAAACTCTTCTGTTTCCTTCAGTCTCATGACATACACAGAGCAGTTCTTGGAATATGACCCTTTTGTGTCAATGCCTGAGCCGTCTAATCCCTGGATCAGTGATGACACTACCTTCTGGGATCTGGAAGCCAGGTAACCATCCATGGTGTTTACTGCAAATGCTGTATACAGTACCTTACCAAACAATCCCTTTAGAATAAGTATAATACACAGCTCCCTTCTGCCACTTCCTTTGCTGTGCTGGTAGAAATGTTTCATTATGCCTACAGTCTCTCTTCTTATTCTGTGAAGCAAAGAACCCAGTCAGCAACGTGTGAAGAGATGGGGATTTTCACTAGATGAGGCTCTGAAGGATCCTGTGGGGCGTGACCTGTTTCTCAAGTTCTTAGAGTCAGAGTTCAGCTCAGAAAATCTCCGGTAAGATCTGGCTTCGTGAATATAGCCTGTTTTTATACTTACACATACCGAGGAATTTAGGAAAGAAGGTATGGTAGCTGCGTCAGCAGATGTGTAGGCTGCAAAGGAACAAGTAAAGGTTTATTCGTTGCTGAAAAGAGAAGAAAAGAAACACAACATGTGGAGGCTCCATAGCCAAAATGTTGTGTTTCTTTTTGACACCCAAAGAAGGCTCCACAGCCGAAACGTTGTGTTTCTTTTCTTCTCTTTTCAGCATGGAATAAACCTTTACTTTTTTGAGTAATCCCATATTCCATGTTTGTTCACTGAATGCTCAGGGTTTGGACACACTCTTATATTGGATGAAATTGCATTATCCTTTTATTATTTGCATATATTTAAATAGATCAAGTAAAAAAGTAACTGATTAATAAATTATTGTGGAAGAGATGATTAGAAACAAGAGTTAAGTTATGAATGCTTACTGCAGGTCCCATTGTGTTATATTCTGTAATTAGAATTGATTATTACTTTGTTAAAATAATGGAATTTCACATTTGATGATCTGGCATTCTCAATTGCTGCACTCTTAGTAGCTTTTCAAATTCACTTAGCACAAAGTTATTAGGAATTAGGAGGAAAAACCACATTTGGGACATTAGAGACACAAGGGAACAAACAGATGGTTGAAGAAAAGAGCTTTAATTTTGAAGAGTCAGCAGGAAGTGAGGGCTGAGTGATACTTTGAAGTGGAAAGCCTAATGAGAAACCATTAGACATAAGAAACCAATGTAGCTTCTTGTCTCAATGTCTTTCATGGATTTAAAAAAAATCTCAAGTGACCTTATGCTCACTGTTGAGCAACAGGATGCTCTATTCTCACGGAAGCCACCATGTGCCATGGAATATATTAAACACCCAGCAGGGAGAGCTCACTGAAATGAGTACACAAATTAAGAGGTGGAGTCACCAAATCATTATACTGAAGTTCTGCCTCTCTGTGTCCATGGCAGATTCTGGCTGGCTGTACAGGATCTAAAGCGGCACCCCCTGCAGGACGTCCCAGCTCGGGCTCAGGAAATTTGGCAGGAGTTTCTGGCAGCTGGTGCTCCCAGTGCTATCAACCTGGACTCCCACAGTTACGAGCGTACCAGCCAAAATATCAAAGACCCCGGCAGGTACAGTTTCGAAGACGCACAGGTGAGTCACTTTCTTTTACTTGATAGGAGGAAATGCTTGTACAATAAACCTGTTGTTCCAGAGCTGTAGACTTTGCTTCGCTGATTCAACATTTTTACATTAGTGTGCAGTGAGCCTCTCGGATTGGTTGACCATGCATTCACAGTACAGTATATGCAACATTGGGTGTTGTATTAAAGACAAAAAACAGAGTGAACAGAGTATACTGTAAATCACCTTTGTGAAAAACGGTTTAATAAATTCAAATGGGCAATGACACTTCATTGTGGGTTTAATGTTTTCACAAGTGTAAAGGAGCTACTATATTCCATCCACATGTTCTACATTATAACTTAGTAATGTTGAATGATGACAATTAGTGTAATTATTAATATGATTTATTTGAGTTAAAAAATATGATGTTCTGAATAAGAAGTCTTTACTTGCTGGTATATTACTACCATGAAAGATGGTATACACTGTGTGACTTATACTTTAACTTCCTTAAATTTTCTTTGTTTCAAACTTGAAATGGCTTCTGTCTTGCCAAAACTTTTGATTTCCATTTCTTCCTACGAGTTACAAATTCCTACATTCAGTGTACTCCTTCCTACTTACCCACTCTGAGGACGTTGTTTCAGTGCTCCTGAAAACTTCAGCAACGTATTACATTTTACCTGTATAATAGCAGCAAGTCCAAAACAAGTGAACATCATGTGCTAAAGCCAGACCTGTGGAGATCAAAAGAATCTGTGAGGTCAAAACTGATTTAGCTTTACAAAGAAGAAGTGGGGAAGGTCAGGTGTTGTAAAACCCCTTTCCTGTGCTTTAACTTGGACTGTTTCCCCTATGCTTTCTGTATACTGTGCTGCTGCATTAACAGTGAGTAAGGAGTAATTCTGCTGCAGAATCAACTGTCTTACTCTTTTTCAGGAGCACATCTACAAGCTGATGAAAAGTGACAGCTATGCGCGTTTCCTTCGCTCCAACACCTATCAAGATCTCCTTCTGGCAAAAAAGAAGGTGGAACCTTTATATTACTTAAATTCCCTTCACATCCTGTAGCTGTAGAAAAACTTCTGTAGGGAGTAGCAGTTGGTGCAGGCCAGCTGAGTTGCTCTAGATGTTCCAATCTTTCACTGCGGGGGCATTTAAAAATGTGTCGGCAAGACTGGCTGTTTCCTGAAAGAGACATTTTCTTCAGTCTTCAGAGCTGCACTTTGAGATCGATTTTGCAAGATGTAATTTAAAGCAAAGAGAAAGGGAATTGGTAATATTATAGCTCCCCGTGTACAGTACACTGTACACTCTGAAATCACACAATACGTGCAAAATAGAGGGAAATAAGTCAGTAAGTTTTGTTTTCCCTTGTTTTTTTCTATCTGTTCATGAAGTCATAATGGAATTTCTCAAATCTTACATTTTATCAATGCTTTGTACAAAACAATCCAGAACTAAAGCAACACAGAAATCCAAAATGTTTCTAATAATAAGGAAATGCCATTCCTCTCATACATATCCCCCAGTCATTCCTTTATAGGAAATAAGACTGTTTCATAAGCATTATAATATGAAAGGCTGTCAGCTGTACTTGCCTTACACTAAAGCTGTAAAATGTTTTTTTTTTTTTATCTCCTGCAGTGTCCCACATTATTGTTGAGTTTCTGGGGTCTTATCACAAGTTTTTATGTGTGATCCTAAATAATCAATCTCCAGCATGTTAGGTACTGTAGTTCATCAAGGGTGGTTAAAACACGTCTGGGAATGGTGAAGGCTCAAACAGTGATGGAAATGTCCAGTGGGGTATGGAGTATTAATTACACTGGTGTTCTTCAGCTCTGTTTGGATCCTGCTTCCAATTCACAACACTGCTAAAATCTTTCACTTTCTTTCTCCTGTACACACACTAAAAATGATCTGGCTGAATAAATGCCAAAAAGTAAGTGTTTTAAAATAATTTTCAGTGACACTCAGTCCTTCACTGATTGAGGAACATATGATTTCAGCACAGCTAAAAGCTCGACAATCAAAACTCCGATCAATGTGGTTCTGAATACCATGGTTAAATATGACAGGTACTGTATGTCTAAGATTCTTGCCAGGTACGTCTCCATATTTAAAAGAAAATATGAGTCTTCTCAATTATATTGTAAGTGTGGGCCGAGGGTAAAAATGTAGACAGAAAAGGAAAAACTATTAAAATATAGGTCATATACTGTAGTGTCTCCCATTTTGACAGACATTATAGTCACCAATCCACCATTATATTGGTCTGTTGCACACTGAACAACTTCATGCAAACCATTACAAATATCACACATATGATATACAGTGCGTGCAAAATATTCAGGCTGTCCCTGTGGTGTCTCATTTTGTGATCAAACCTGATCAATCTGAAGAGTTCTAAGGGTAGCATGTAATTAATATTAGACACAGGCAAAAACTAAAGACAGACTGAAATCTGTTTTTTGCATTTGTATTCAGAAAAATTTTGTCCATGCACGTTGAACAGAAATTATAGCCACCTGTATGTAAATCTCTACAAACTTTACACACTTGGTGCATTTTTGCCCATACTGTACTTCTAGGAAGGCACTCTCAAGTTTCTGAGGTATTTTGTATACACAACATTTAAAAGTTTTTCCACACATTCTCAGTATGAATCAGATCAGGATATTTGGAGGGCTGGGTCACTTCCTTAATCTTAATGCAGTCCAGTGTAACTTTGGTCTTGTGCATTGGATCATTGTTCTATTGAAAGGTACGTGGCCAAAATATTGTTGACAGATGCACATTTGAACTCTAGCTCTTTTATAGATGTTGTTGGCTTCAAATGGGCATTTCTTATTTACTTCCTCCTTGCCCTGCTTCTCAGTTCTAAGATATGAGCAGTTTTGGGGTGGTAAAGTCTCACATTTCACTTTCCTTCACCTTCACCTTGGGTAGATAGTGCTCAAAGACATATTCATAGTCTTCAGTGTTATTCAGTATCATTTGTACCTGATCCTGATCTGTGTTTTCCAATGACATTATCCTTTGCTTTGAAAACCCCTTAGTCTTCATGGTTGAATCTTTTCTTAAGATGCACCACCCGACTAAGGAACTGCACAGGGACAGGTGTTTTTATTCTGAAATAGCTATTATTGTACACTGGCAGTGGCTACTCAACTAAGTAGCTTGTTAAGGTAAATATATTTATAGCACAGCAAGCAGTTTAATTACTTATGCAGTCACAGATTTTTAATTTATGTTTCATATTAAGTATATATTTACTTTCTGTTTTTTGTTTCAAATAGTTGAGTAGCTTGTGTAGGTACTGTAACAAATATTTTAAAAAAACAAAATTTGAAAACTGTGCAAGGGTCTGAATACATTTGCAAAGCATTGTAGTTCCCCTTGTACTGTATATCCTGTTGCTATCCATGGGAAGATCTTTAGCATGGTCCGCTTTGTACAGTATATTGCACCATGTAGCACCACGTTTGCCATATTTGCACCAATCATCTAGGTTTCATTGCACCAAGACGTGCAGTTATCACAGGTGAAGACCAACTGACATGGACTAAGTAGACTGTTTTAAAATGATCTTGCAACCTCTGAGCTTACCTATCCTTGAGAAAAATAAAAACCCAAAAAGGAGCACAAAGAACTATTTCTATAATAGTTGTCCATGACGGAAAGATTGGAATGTGAAAAAGAATCCTTTCTCGTCAATGTTGGTATTCATCACCTTTCAGGACAAGACACTTTCCCTTCCTTAAACTGACTGGAGTGCTCCATGTTCTGCTTAACGTGCTCAGCTCCACTCCCTGATTGCCATGAGCTTGCGCTCTACTGCCCAGGTCTCAGCTTGTGTGCTGTATGAGTCAGACTGCTGGCTGCTGCTCTGCTCACACTGCCCTGCACCTTTCACTGCCTGTAGCTGACCTTCCCTTTGTTGTCTCTTCCCTAATCTCCTCCCCCTAAAGCCTGAGAATGAGCAGGGACGCCGAACCTCCCTAGAGAAGTTTACACGCAGTGTGGTGAGTACCTCTCCTGCCATCTCCTTTACAGGAGACCAGAGCTCCGCTCTGCTTGTGATAGCCAGGATTGGTGGACAGACAGTAGTTTCAGTTTCTTTCCTTGTTTAATTTTACACATCAGCTTCTGATATCTTAGAATTTTAGATTTTAAAGTCAGTAAGATAAGTCAGATTTGGTTTCCAGGGGAATCATTCTCCAAGTCTTAAATACCCAGAATCAAGTTTAACGGGTGTATCCAGAGCTGCCAAGGGTTGACTATCTTTAAGAGTGAGAGTTTACAACTTTTCCAAAGTTTGGGAGGGTGCAGGTTGAAACTTTTTCTCCTTCCAAGAAGGGACTGTTAAATATGTGCATCTCATACTTGATGCATAAGCATTTTGTTGTAATCTTTCCAGGTTACCTTTTATACTTTTCTCTCTTCATTTGAATTAAAGTGCTTTTTTATTTATATACATACATCCTGCTGACGTTCTCACTGCTTCTCCATGTTGTATGTTTGTGTTAACATGTCCTAGCAGCTTTTTGTAGGTTGCCAGTCAATTATTTTACGTAGATTAGCAAATAAATGTAGCAGAACAATTCCCTTACAATTTCTCTATGTTTCCCGTGCATTTGCAAGGTTTTTAATCAATACGCATTCACTACCCTCAGTTTCCACTGATGTGATTTCCAGAATTAATTTCTGTCTGGTTCTTTGTCCAAGCCTCTTTTGAAAAGATAAACATACAATATAATGTTGTATGCCAGAACTCACTTTAGATGTGCTTTCTTCAAAGTTTTGACTTGATAATAATTGAACAGATTGTAGTTGTCACTGTGAATTTCATGATTTACATTTTAGACTGACTAGACTAGATTTACTTGGCTCAGTTTTGTTCCTCTAGTTAATTGGTTCTTAACCTTTGCTACAGCCAGCACCCCTTGTGTCCTCAAAACATGTCCTCTTACCCATTATCAAAAATCATTGAAGTAGTAGATGTTTATTTTCAATTTTACAGTAAAATTAAATGAAAAATGCACACTTTTTTAAGTTTAACTTAAAAATACTGAGGTTTGATGAAACAGGGTATTTGTACTTACTATACTTGGCTGTGCTTAATTTATGTTTTCAATGATTAACCTTCTAAAACAATATGGCTTGTCTCACAGAAACCCAGAAAGGGGATGATTAAGTTTAAGAAGTTCTAGTTCTATTTTCAAGTCAACAGGAGCAACCTCTGCCTTTTAGTTTCTTTACTTGTTTAAGTCGTGTTTGTCTTTAGTGTGAGAGAACTTATAATTTATACTTATAATATTATACTTAACGTATAATCATTAACATGCAATTGATTTCCTCATCAGTGAAGACGATACACAATATTCATGATGCTGTTTAATACACCAGCTATTGTAGAATGATTTCCTAAACAGAACTATTTGTTTTTAGATGCTTGAATCTCTTTTAACTTTTCCTTAACTTGTACAACATAGAAAACACTTTTTAAGCACGATTTTGTCTGGAATTTCTGGTCACTGATTTAATTTGTGATAATTCACTCCGTTTTTTCAATGATCTTCATTTTTTCAGTTTGTCCAGAAAACAACTTTCTCTCTCTGTAGGTGTTAATAAGTAGGTGATTTTCACAGCTGTAATTCCTTGCATTTGTACAGCACTTTTCATCTACCTAGAATGCCAAAACACTTTACATGCAAGTGGGACCCACTTCATCCACAACTGAAGTGCAGCACCCACCTGAAAGAGTCATAGCAGCCATTATTCTCCAATTTCCCCACCACACAGCAGATGGAGAAATTAGACATTTCTTCAGTAGTTGAATAAAGGGGAAACTTTAGGGGTGGCAGATTGTGAAAGGTTAGGATATACTTTAACTAGGACACCTGCATTAACATCCCTAGTCTTATGAACAGCATCACGGGGAACTTTAGTGCTCAAGTAGTTAGTAACTGATATTTTTAGCATCTCATCAGAAGGACAGCAGTCCAACAGCACAATTTTCTGGTTACCATACTAAGGCACTGGTTTGTAAATTCTAGTCAAGAGGGAAGAGTGTCACCTACTGTCTCACCCACACCACTTACAGAAGAAATATGGTTTTCCTCAGAGGTCTCCTACACCAGACATTAGCTTGACTTCTGAGATCTGGCGAGATCAGACAACAGAGTTGTAAAATTGCTGTCTACCAACCCAGTCTAGTCTCATCTTTTCAGTTTTCTCTTAAAAGTAGAATCTAATTTTCTGAGTTACACTTTTGTCTTATATGCCACATAGCAGTATGACATCCATTCTGCAGTGCTCTTTGTAGCTATATTTTCTGAACTAGTATCATGAAATTTTGAAAATTTGTTTAATAGGTTCTCTACTCATGCTTGCTTTTCTCAATTTATCAAGTCGCAAAATATTGTAGCATGAGGATATTTTTAGATAAATTCCAAAACACCTGTGTGCATAGAACGTCCTTCAGTACCCTTAACTATTTACCATGGGGTTAGCCAGCATGAGCTGTGATCAGGTTTAACTTCTTAGATTCTGGAAGAATTCTGTGCTTAAAACTATAGACACCCCATGATAGGGCTGCACCCTGAGGTTACCCAGGAAACAAGCAGTTCTGACCCCTCATCTTTCAGCCCTGGAGTCAGCCACTGTAGCCTCAAGCTGTCACCCTTCCAGATGTCTTGTGGGGGAAATGGAGACCCCTACGATATTTTTGAGTCAGACTTTAATGTTCTGTTACCCCTTCTGTTCCAAAGCATTTAGCCCCCCTAAGTTTTAGTTACTTGCAAGGTGATTGGAAAATAGAGGCAGTCTCACTACCTATCTCCCAGCTTACCAACTTTGATGTGCTTATTACCATCTGCAGAGGTTAACCAAGGATCAGTTAATGGCACTTACAAGCTGTAACAAGTATCATCATCTCCTTTCCTTTCTTTGGCATCCAAGTTTTTTAGTTTTCTGTCCTGATGTTGACTTTTTTTCTTGCTCTGGATATTTCTTTCCCACCCCAATTCTTCTGATTATCTCTCACTCCTCCTTTACTGATTTCAGCTGTGAAAGCCAAATGCTTTTTACCACCACGGCTTTGATTTGGTACATTTGGAATTTTAATAACTGCCATACGGAGGATACCTTAGAACTAAAACTCAGAGTAGCGTAAGTGATCAGATATGCAGTTATCATTTGCATTCCCTTATTTAAATTTCACTTTCTTTTTTAGAAAACAGTCTATATCCCACAGAAACTTTCTGACGGTTTCGCTGCAATTGGAGGATAAAGGCTCCCTCTTTCTGGTTCCAGGGCAAATCACTGACAGGGAAGCGTCTGACAGGCCTCATGCAGTCTTCCTGACAGAGTGGGGAGTCCAGTTGCTGAGGAGATGCAGTCCTGCGAGGGGGGGGCATCAGCAAGCTGGGTAGGAGGGATGTGGGGGGACAGAGGGCAAACGGAGAGCTGACCACTGAGATGAACCAAATCCCTTCAACCCTCTTCACCCTCATTGCTCAGTCACCGTGCAGCTCCAAGCTCGCTCCACAGGTGGTAGGGCAGCGAGCAATAATAAGTTGCCAATAAAATGTAACAAAACGGGATAATTTTGTGTTTATGTAATTTATTTAATAATATGCTGCCTGTTTTTTATACAAATGAAACTAAGATCAACCTTTGTTTCTCAGTTATTACACATAATAAGCTGATAAAAAGTAATCTACAGAAATATTTTTTAGTTACAGATCAATTTATTACAACTTGTCAGATTTTTATCCTGCCTTTGTGTAAAACATACAATTATTCCTCAGCATGCTGTCATGGCTGTCAACGATAGCTGATTAAGGTATTCAAGAAGAAATGTTTGCTCCCTTCGCTACATTCCAAGGACAGCATCCTGGAAGGGCTTTAGAAAAAGTGGTCTACAAGTACATTAGTATAATTTGAATTCTCAAAAGCTTAGTATTACACAAAATCCCCATTTCATTACAAAAAGAAAGATAATGTAAAGATATTAATGCTTGTATCATGTAAACATCAAGCCAATGGTAGGATTTACTCCCTGTAAAACAAGTACTGTTGTCTTATAAAGAACAACAACTAACATGCTTAATAATGCTTCTTATAACATTAGCTGTACTACTGCTCAATAATACAACAAATGAGTGTTTCACAGGTAACACTTTAGGAGTTGCAAATTCCACTTCGTAAATGCATAACAATCAAGCTATTAACACTAAATTGTGCATTTCTTAGGGCTACTAGAAGTGACATTTGTTTATGACTATGTGATTAATCATCACTAGGGGACAGTACCTACCATGTTCTCTAAATGGATTTATAGATTCTAAAGTAGTTTCCAATTTACAAAATTACTTAATTGTACTAGATTCCATTTTTCTTTCTATGGCTCTAAAACATGGATGCCAGCGACACAATACATTGCAGGAAATTCATTTTTGTTTTTTGCAAATATAATTTTTGGTTATGTATCTTAACCAATACTAATGTTCTTGCTTACTGAAAGCTTTAACAGACAGCATCATTCAAAATCTACTCAGTGATGTTATCAGTGAGGTGCTTTCTCAGTTTGCCAACAGTTCATATCTTCACAAAAAATAGTATAGGCTCTGCTATTTCAATGACTTAAGCTTATTTCAACACACCTAGAATAATAGTTACTGAGGAATTCCAAAGCTTTATTCATCAGAATCCATCCTGTAATGCAGCATGAAGTAAAAGGATTTTGTTCCTTATTACATATTGCTTTGTTTAATGTATTTTATACAAAGTGACTTCAAGGTTTTTATAGTTATAACCATCATATATGCTCTTAAATGTAATAAGTACACAATATTTGCAGACACACAAGTTATAATACATTCAATCTGGTGTCCAATGAGATTGCTCCTAAGAAGATCATTTTTGACTGAGAAAATTTCTCCATGTGGAGAAATGTCCTCTTCAGAAATTACGGCTCAGTAACAAAATCTCAATATTTTAAAATGTCTTTGAAGTAAACCTGGAGATTTTGTATTTGTGTGATGACCAAGACTGAAGTGAATTTAGTTGCAAGTAATATTACTGTTTCAATGTGCAGTTCCATGATTTCTATTGTGCTCACATTTTTTTAATTATTTCATTCTGAGAAGTTATTTAATGCCAAAGCTGGAAAGTATTTTTATCATCTAACAAGCTGATATTTGCAATGACCCATTAGATTAATTGTGAAAATGTCCACCTCCTTATGCTGTAATGGCTGTTAAAACAAGGTTTTGCTTATGGTTATATTGAATGTCAAAACATTATTAGCTTTTAATTTATTAGTTAAAATAGGGCAAACATATTTCAGTGTTGTTTTCGTAATTGTGTAAAAAGTAAATAAAGTATATCTAGTTGCACTCACAATTATTGGCACCCTATGTCTGAAATAAATGCTGTTCACTAATTGATAAAGTGCAATAAATACACTTTTAAACTATACCTCTTCTAGTAAATGGAAGCCAAATTTGTCATTAACAAACTTATGATACACAGTGCCAGTGCTTATGTCTGCAACTACAAAGTATTCAGTGAAAGCTGACTCAAGTGTGTCTCTGTATGGGATCATAGAAAAAGAGCAGGGTTCTATAGATTAATTGACTGCACCTTTGTACTGAAGGAACTACAGTGATTGGGCTGCTTGCACTAAGTGCCTGATGCTGATCTTGTCAACCATAGTCTTCCTCTTTGTGTTTCTTACAGTTAAAATCAGAACTACTCTGTCAGTGAACTGAAATTTGTCATTTTTCATTGTATTACTGAAATTTGTAATTTAGATCAAAAGATAAATATGAAGGAAATGTACAAAATGTCAGCTCTAACTCCTAGATATTTTTGTGAAAGTATGTGAAACCATGTTAGAATATTTTTTTTTGGTCTTCAATTACCCTCAATTTCAGGTCATCCTAAGTACTGGGACAAATTAGCTTTAAGTAAATGAAACTAATGTAAAGTTAGTATTTGTATACATAACACTTACATTAAATAACTATTTCAAGTCTTCAACCCATCAACATAACCATGTTCCCTTGTGATGCTATTCCATTCCACTTTCAGTTGTTTGTGGGGATTTGAGTTTCTTCTTCAGCAGGTACATACTCAATTCAAATCAGGAGATTCACTTGACCAGTTCAAAAGTTTCTACTTCTTCCTGATGAACTCCTTAGTTAGGTGTGTAGTATGTTTTGGGTCATTGTCTTGCTTGTAGGCTTAGTTACCAACCAATTTTGAAGGCATTTTTTGAACATGGACAGACAAGGTGTTTTCTGTACATTTCACAATACATTCTGCTCCTGCCATCATTAGTTACATCACCAATAAAGAACAGCGAGCAGTAAAGAGTAGTTGCTTGCCCTCCACCATGCTGCACAGATGAAGGGGTGTGCTTAGAAGCATTTGTAGTTGCTTTGTTTCTCCTCATTTTGCCTTTCTGTCACTTTGATAAAGGTTTATCTTTGTCTCCTCTGTCCGGAATACTTTGTTCTAGAACCGTTGTGTTTTTTCTTTGTACTTCTTTGTAAATTCTATTCTGGCCTTTTTTTATGTGCTGATGAAAGGTTTGCATCTTTGCAGTGTAGTCCTTGTAATTTTTCTGTCAAAGTCATCTACACACAGTGAATTGAAATACTTTCACCCCTGCACTCTGGAGACTTTTCTTTAGTTGTTGTATGAGGCTTTTACTTTACGGCCCTAATGTTTTTTCTGTCATCATACCCGTCTTCCTGGTATGTCCTGCTCATTGCCAAATGTTTACTCCTCCAATGGTGTCTTTTCTTTACAAGACATTCTATACTGTTGAATTTGTGATGCCCAATCTCTCTGCAGTCATTCTAATTGGATTTTGTCCTCTCATCTTCACAATTGCTTTTTTTCTGTCCTAGACAGCTCTCTAGTCTCCATCTCATTGTATGCCTTCTAATTTAAATTTCAAATTACTCCAAATCAAAGGCTCAAACCAATGCTATACATTCACAGTTTATTATGTTTTTACAATTAATGCAACATGGAAGGCTTGAACAATTATAAGCATCTGTCAACCATTTGTCCCAATATTTGTTCTTTTTTATAATGGGTGGATTGAACACAAAAAATGTCATTATTCTAATATGGCTAAACATCCTTTAAAACAAAAGCTGAAACTCTATACTTTTGCCTTCTGTTAATTTTTTTGTCTTTTATTTAAAATGTGCCAAAAATGACAAATTTCACTTCATTGTCCCAATACTTATGCTTTTCACTGTAAATATCATAAAACACACTACACAAAAACCTGTTGTGCTGAAATGTCTTTTCACGGAGTAGTTTGGCTTGCTCAGATGTTAAATCCATTCAGGAATGGGTAACCAACATACAGCATGAGGTATTTCTCATGGCAAGCACATTTTAAGAATTATTACTTGTCACAAAATCAAAAGTGCCAATCTTTCCTCTGTAAACACACAAATCAGCCAGTGATACTAGGAATCAAAGAGATTAAAGAAATCTGTGAAGTGTAGAATTGCACGTGTTGCTGGACTCTTGGAAGAATACAATTTTTTGGATTTCTTTATCGATTTAGAACTCATTGCCTTACTTCGTGTTTCATTATTATTTTTCAATTCTTGAACAAGTAGATGATCGCTCATAGAAGAACATTGCTACTTGGTGGGTTTTTTAATGTTCTGTTACAGGGGAAAATCTGTCTTCTAAAGCAAGGGGGATATTCAGTTATTGTCTGTGTTATGATAGGAAATATGTCTCCATTAAGTATTTTTACTTTTTATATAATTGTACTCATTATACTGATTACACAGGTTTTTCAAAACCTTACATTTCATTTGATTATGTAAGTAACTGACTAAATAAAGCTGCTTTTCTTACAAATAATGATGTATAATCTCTTCATGTGATGTAAATCTGCATTCTAATTTTATTTAATCTGCTCTTTAAAGTCTTTGAATTATCTTTATAGTGCACTGATTAGACATAACACTGTAAAATGTACACCGTAGATTAGAAAAAAATGTTGCAAACTGTGATCCCCAGTTCTTTTTCTTCAAAAAGGGTATCCTAGTTTGGTGAAACCCACATTTGGACCACTCTTACATGCACAATGAATAACCATTAAGTGACATATGAACAACCATCGCTCTCCCATAGATTAAGAGCTGGTGATCTTATTACTGTAGTTATAGCTCCTCATGCTCTTCCTTTAGAAGTAAGCCTTAACTTATATTGTATGTTTTATAATTGAATAGAGCATGTTTGCATATCTCCTTTTAAATCTGCTTGTGATTGATGAAGATATCCTTTCCTCGACAACTATTATACAATAATAGAATAGCATTTTAACTTTTTAACATACAAGAGTATGATGAACAAGCAAGAAATACACTGTATATCTGTAAAAATGCCAAAGAATTCTGTAAATATTCAGAATGTAAAAATACTGTACACAGTATATGATTTTGAGAGATTTTGAATGGGAAAGTGAAATGGATGCCATATGAACTGCAATATGGAAACAGACACGTTCACGTTCATCTTTTCACTCATTGCAGGAATGACAAAATCATACTGACTTTATACCAATCTGTTTTTTAGTTCTCTTATTATATGACAAATTAGATTAAACTTCTGTAACTTTTGCCCAATGCTGTATTGCGTCACTGGTTGTGCATTTCACAAGTCAGAATATTTTCACTATTTACAAATGGTGCATTAAAGAACACCTTGTCCATTGTGTCACAAACAAGTGCAGGCAGTGTTTGGCTTTCTCTGTCATGTTCTTTTCTCTTCATGAAACCACTGAGACTAAAATTCTGTGGCACATAAAATACATAGTTGCTTTTCCCAGAGCATACTCTTGTCTGTCAATGGAGATGTAAACAGTACAGCATGTTCAAGATTCAGTATGATCACTATACTGGTTCACAATCACAGTTGTCTTGTGTTTGTTTGATTTTGCAACAATAAAATAGAATGTAAACAAAACTCCTTTGATTTTCAAGCCAAAGTGATGTTAATACACATTGGGGTTTGAACTGACTGCCAAGAGAGGCCTGTGCACTCAGTGGGAAATGCAAATGCGGAAGGCAGAACAATTACACTGTACAGCGGATGTTATGCTGTATTTGTAAGTAATAATAGCTGGTGACTGAATGTTAACTTAATCATTCAAGTCAATGTTAACTTCATCATGTAAATTACTGGCAGAGTTTGCCGTTGATACTGTGGGAAATGTCCCGAATAATTACATTTGCCAAAACTGACCACTCAGTAATTTATCTGATTATCAGATCTGCTTCATAGGAAAATAAAAAAATGCTCTATCTTTTCAGGATTAAGAAAGAAAACTAAGCCACGAATCTTTCTAAAGTATAATTGGCAACATTTGCTCCTTGGATAGGCAGCTGATAAACAGATTCTTCAGAGGACAGGCTTTATAATTCCATTTAAAAAAACATATTAAAGCTTACCAAAATCATTTGGGTCTGAAAGTCAAAGGTATATACAGCTTTGTTTTAATCTAATTGTTACATCTTTGTTATGCTGATTGACAAAGGAATGTAATGGGCATGATGGGTTCAGCAAACTGAAACACTTTTGTGCAAGATGATCTTATGGAGAAGAACATGCATAATTTTGCCAAAGACAATGAGGAGCACTAAAACGTCTCGACACATTAACACAGTCCAATACATTGACTTCTTTTCTGTAGTTCTTTGAATAAATGCAAATGGGTCTTGAGTGAATACAGAGCTTTCTCAAAAAGGACAATGCAAATATTTGTCACTGAACTGAAGAGGATACATTTCTTTGTCAAAAAAAGTGTCAGTTTGAGACCCCTTTTACAATGACTGATCTGGGCCTCACAACGTTTTGGTTCATGGGATGTCAAGCTGCTTCATAACTGAGTGACTCAGAGGCACCATTCAGCTGCTGTTAGTGACTGAAATAAGTGGTCACAGCACCATTTCAGAGAGGAAAAAGTGGCTTTCTATGACTGCTAAATAGCTGCTTTTCTTTCAAGTGAGAAATTAAAGAAAACATTTGGGTTCCAACCTCTCTTACCCAAGACAGTTCGGGAGAAACACTGAAAGGTATGGAACTTCCCTTTTCAATAACTAATAATGGTGAACATCTGTGGAAAGAAAGTGAGAAAAATAATTCTGAAGCGTTAACACTGCCAGAGACTGGACCTACAGTAGTGTTATTGAAAGCAGATCTAATGTGTTGTTTATTTTTTAAATTGCCTTTTTATTGTAACAATGTACAGTACATATCCAACATATTATTACCATTAAAATAGTATTTGTAGTTAATTGATAATATTCTACATTTATTCATAACACTATCTGTTACAACTTATTCTGATTAATATATACTGTGTATCTTATAATAGGTGGTGAGTCTTCAAAGCACATATATTGATATGGGCACAGAACTATGCATGTAACATATGAACAGAGTTCCACTCTTGACTAAAAAGACAACTAAATATTAGTGGACTGAAAGACCCAAGAGCCTGATATATTGTAGCTACCAAATAAACTTTTGAACTTCTGTCTCACTTGCCTATACTTGTACTTCATTCTTATACTTTATTTAGATTCGATCTTTACTAACGTTTGTTTGAAATGTGTTTAAAATTAAGTACTCTTTCCTTGACCAATAAAATAATAAACACTGATATTTACAATTTTTCCACAAAAGGCACCTTGTGGAAACTGGTGTTAAGGTATGTACATTAAAACAGAATAAGCTTCCTTTTTGCAGTTGTTTAATGCTCTGTAGTTCACAAATGTATCCCCATAGATATTAATCACAA